TAAAAGTATGAGTTTTTCCCTACTTATAAATTTAGTGCAAAGGCGGCGGTGGTCAAAGTCTCATTTTCCTGTCACTATATTAGTGTTTTTTCTTGAGAGATGAATTTGAGTTGATTATTTCCTCAAATATTAAGGTGAGTTGCATTTTTTTGAGGAAAATACTCATCCTAATGAACATATTTTCTTGAAAAACAATTGCTTCTTGAGGGAATTCTCGATTTAGCTAATGAGTTTAAATGGCGAGTTTAATCTTTCTTTCAAAGAGGAATCTTGAAGAGGCAATAATGGTAATTGTTTTCCTGAGCTATAAAATTATTTGGACACGGAGACAATCAAACCCTTATCTTGGCGTGGTAAACCCACGATGGTGTGTGATTTGAGGCTTTTCTATCACATGCAACAGGTTCTTCTGCAGCAATGGCGTGGTTTCCTTCTCTTCTCCTTGTAAGAAACAGATATGAGCCTCAATTGTTTTCTTGTTAAGACCTTGTTGAACTCTTAGAAACATAGACCTACAGATTACGAGCACTATATTTCATGTGTGTGCGTTTTAGTAAATGTTGATTCCACCCAGGTGGATAAGTCTTATGATTGGATATTATCATTATTTGGGGTTCTTACCTCTTTGTTTCTTTTTCATCTGCAAATTACTTAGTTACTCATTGAGAAACATTGTAGTGAAAGATGCATTTTGCATTATTCACATTACATTGATATTTTCAGATCTACTATCAAGCGGTCATTGAGAATAGGTGAAACTGAAGGGTACGTAATAAGGAGTAACAACTATTATTGCTGGCGCAGAGCTACCAGTGACACCAGTAAGTGTCAAAGTCTACTAGATATATATAAAACATTAGTGATACCATTCACATTCATATTGTGAAAGTGTGCGTTCGTGGTTTATACTTGCTGGTGCACTGCAAAAGAGCGAATCAACTCATATATATGAAGATGCCAACTCAATATTTTCTATCATTTGAAGAAAATTTCGTTTTCTGTTGAGTGCAATAATATCATACGATATTGAAAGTTGGTCTAATATTACTTAGATCCAGGTTGTTCATATGTCCCTTTTTTTTCCGTGACCATACATAACGAATTGATGTGGTATATTCATATCATAATATATGAACGGTAAGAACTAGCATTCTTATTGAGACTATAACTCATAGGGAAGAAAATCGATTTATGGATGGAATCAGATATGTAGTATTTACAGACAAAAGTATTCGGTTATTTGGTAAAAATCAATATACTTCTAATGTCGAATCAGGATCAACTAGGACAGAAATAAAGCATTGGGTAATTTAGGGAATTATCGATAGGCTAACAAAAAAGGACAATTAGGGATTCATTGGAATTCTCACATTTATTTGGAAGAATACTTATTTCGGATGGGTCACACCAATATGATGAACCAAATGAGTTCTGCATCATGAACTTTGTACTGCGCACATTACTTAGACGGGTTCTAGAAATTCATTCTCCTTTTACAGTGTTTGAGTTTATAAAGGGTTTTTTGCAGATTTCTATTTGTCCCATTTGAAGCTATTGAAAAGTATATAACAAGTAACATGTGTCTGTTTAGTGGGATCCCTTGGGGGAATAAAATGCTTCTCCAGCTTACATATAATCATATCTTCTCTCTTTTGATAGTTCTCTTTACCCCAACTTTGCATATCTTCTCTCTTTTGATAGTTCTCTTTATCCCACCTTTGAAGGAAGGGGGTAATTATCTTTCAGTTCCAGGTACTTTTCAATCAGTTAAGGACTCCTCCTTAGACAGCATCCTCCACATTCAATTCAGCAACAATGATAAATCAAGTGCCTGCAGATGTATGTCATCTGCATAATAAGTTTTTCTTTAGACTTTGCAAAGATGCCAATGTCAGATTTGTAACTGTTATATCAGTGTCTCTCAGCCAAGCAATGTAAAAGATGATCTCTCAGAGCTTGGAGAAAAAGGATAGCTTTTTCTTAGATGTTGGAATGGTCATTGAAAGTTAGGATTGCTGCAAACTCACAATGTATCCTGTAGAACTTTGTATCAGAATGCATGAAAAAACTATTTAAGTGTTAACATGTTGTGCACATTGAATCAACTTGATAGTAGTACTTCCTTTCTGGTGATCCTATGAAACACTTCAAATAAGTATGAAATATTTTTTTGGTGTTGAACTTTTTAAATTAATCTTGTGGATGTGCACACAAACAGTAATGTCGGGCATAAGCCCGTGCATTGCACGGGCACTGGCCATCTAGTTATATTATAAGAGAACTTTTTCACTGATAATATAATAGTAGCACAATATAAACATAAAACAAGTCCAAGATATTGAATGCACATACAGTGAATGATGTGGGAGGCCCCAAATTAAATGAAATGTATTTTGTCATGTGAAATGGGTGTGGATGGCCTCATAAATACATTTCATGTTGTCACTGCATAAAATTTAAACTAATTTAGGTATTATCAAGCATATCATTTTCCAACAAAAAAGAAAGCAACTAAATAATAGAAAGATAGCCAACAGAATTTATGGACTAGGCCGACCCATCCCCCAAATGATGTTAACAAGGTTGCTTCATTCATTATTCAATCTAATCTAGTCATCTAATGCACTTCCCAAAGTATGAGTGATGATTCAAGAATCTATCAAACAATGTAGAAATTATTTCATGTTATAAAACAATAAAAGAAGAAGAGTAGTTTTGCAGAGAACATAGGGAGAGAGAATTCTTATTGATTTTGGGATGAATTACAATGGGAATAGAACCCTCTATTTATAGGGAGAGGGTGACTTAGCCACCAAGCAATGAACCCTAGAATCTCTCTAAATATAGACATTCACCATAAATAAAATTCTATTTATAACACTCCCCCTTGAATGTCTATTCAACAGATAATGTGCCTCGTTAAAACCTTAACTAAAATAAAACCCAGTGGGAAAAAAATTCTAGTAAAGGAAAAAGAGTACACATATCTAACAATACGCCTTTTGGTTGCCTCGTTAAAAACCTTGCAAAGAAAACCCAGTGGGACAAAACCTTGTAAGGGAAAAAGAGTACAACGCGTATTAACTCCCCCTCATGAGAACATCAATTCACATCCTTGAGCCTTCGCATCCCAATCTTGTGCACTAGCTTCTTGAAGGTTGACGTTGGCAAAGATTTGGTGAATAAATCCGCCATATTAACTCCAATGAATATGTTGCACCTTGAAAATCCTCGCTATCACATTATCATGCTTATAGTTATAGCAAGATACATATGTGCACAAATTGCACTGAGGATGTAGTACTTCAAGATCAAGAATTGTATATGCTTCAAGCAATTTAAATCCTTCAAGGATTGTCATATAAGTCATATTATAGACTTTAATTAGATGCATATCAAGTTTTCATGTCATGCTAGACAAATAAGATATCGAAAACTGATTGCACATTGTAACGACCCGACCCGTCGTCACGGGAGTTACCGCCCCGTTTTCCCCGTTTTATGCTTCTATATATTTCATTATATGTGTTTGGAGAATTTGAAGTAATTCGGTTAGAGTTCGGTTAGAAATGAGACAATAAGTCTCTTTATGAGAAGGTTAGTTTGGAAAAGTCAACCGAATGTTGACTTATGAGTTAGAAGGCTCGGAATGGAATTCCGATGATTCGACTAGTTTCGGGGGATGATTTGTGACTTAGGAGCGCAATCGGAATTGAATTTGGAGGTCCGGTGTAGAATTAGGCTTGAATTGGCTAAGGTTGGATTTTGGAGAATTCCGGATGGTAGGTGAGATTTTGATCCGAGGGTCGGAATGAAATTCCGAGAGTTGCAGTAGCTCCGTTAGGTGATTTTGGATATGCGTGCAAAGTTTCAGATCATTCGGAGGTGTTTAGGACGGGTTTTAGATCAAATGCAAGTTTCGGAAGTTTTAGTTTAACTTAGGCTTGAATCCGTGGTAATTCGATGATTTTGATGTTAACGATAGTGTTTTGATGATTGGAACAAGTTTGAATAAGGTCTTGGGGTGTGTTGGTGCTATTGGTTGAGGTCCCGGGGGTTAAACGGAGAATCTTGATGTTTGTTGCAAGTCTGGTGCACCTGGCTTCTGGTATTTCCGCATCTGCGGAAAAGGANGTGAGCGCGGGTACCCAAATGGATCGGGCTGCGCGCCGCAGCGGTCATGTGCATTGCATTGCATCCATGCATTTTATGTCTGTTGCCCTTAATTGTCATTGTTTGTTATTGTTTTTTTTTATCGTCTAACGTACTGAATCGCTGATTATAGCTTTATATTGTAATATTTCGGGATTTCTTACTTTCAGCCATTATATATGTTTATTACTCACTGAGTTGGAAGTACTCACTTTACTCCCTGCACCATGTGTGCAGATTCAGGTGCTCCGGAGACTTAGTGGAGCTGCTTACTGTCATCTTGGATTTCGGTTTAGGAGTTGTTGAGGTAGCTGCCTGACGTCCGCAGGACCCGACTTCTCCCCTTTATTACATTGTCTTTTCCTATCCTAGACTTTTCTTTATTACTATGAATATAACACTCTGTTACATTTAGAGGCTCTAGACTCGTGACTCCGGATCTATTGGGGAAATGTTTGATATATTCGTTATCATTTTTCGTACTACTTTATCTAAATTCCGGATTTGGAATTTGATACTTACTATTTTAATGGTATTATTGGTTAACAGTTTGCGTATTTGGGTTGAGAGTGTTTAATTGGTCGGGCTTGCCTAGCATTAGTGTTGGGCGCCATCACGACCGGGTTTGGGGTCGTGACAGTAGAATATACCA